CCCCCTGCTAGCCCAGCCCTCGGGCTCCCCCCAGCCCTGCCGGTGCCCCTCACTCCCGACCCGCACGCTCCCTGCTAGTCCGGCCCTGCCCCCCATCCCTGCCGGTGCCCCTCACTCCCGACCCACAGCCCCCTGCTCGCCCAGCCCTGGGCTCCCCCCAGCCCTGCCGGTGCCCCTCACTCCTGACTCCGTACCTAGGAGGAATAGTTGAGGCCAGACCAGGCAGGTGTCTCCCAGGCTGGAGAACATCAGGCCCCAGCAGACCCGGCGGGCGGCCGGGGTCCAGGCGCCGTCACCCCAGGCCTGGGCCGTCAGGAAGAAGACCAGGCTCAGGACCGGGAGGCTCTTGACGCCGGCGCTGACCCAGCTGGGCTCAGGCAGCCACAGGGTGAAGTACAGGCCGCAGGCGGCCAGGAACGGCAGCAGCTTGAGGCGGCGGCTCTTGGCCTGCAGAGGGGGGTGGAAATCGACACGGCTGGGGCCCGTCTACACTAGGGAGAGCACGGCGCGCCCGGCATGGGGACTATCCCTCGGTCCAATCAGGGAGCAGGGAACAATGCCATGTGACTCAGACAGGAATCACATGTCATTTCCCACTGGGGTCAACTCTGAGGAGTACCCATGCTTCAAAGCTAATCGTCACACCTGTTAACTCTTAAACCTACTGATGGCCTACTCTGTAAGCACGGTCATCGTATTAACTGTGACACCATGAGTCCATAGTGATGTACAGTCTGGCTATTTCACCGTGTTCACTCTGAAACCTACAGACACACCAGGGTTGGGAAACGGGGTGTCATTCGGTTTCAGAGTTAACGGGGGAAACAACAGACATATCGATTCTTATAAATTGGGTCTGGGCAGTTATTTTGCTATGTTAACTCCGCAACCTAACGATAATCCGTCGTAACCAACAACCAAAGTAACCCGTTGGTTACTTCACGGTGTTAACACTGAAAACTACTGACAGGCGACTGAATACAATCAACGCGGATCCCTGGCTCACCTATCGATGACCCAGTGCAGAGTGACGCCTCACCTAACACGGTCCCCGTTAACGTCGGTACCTTGCTGATTAGGGAACAAGCGCCTTTAAACTTGCGCAATGCTCCCTTAGGAGGTCGTTTGGCAGCCGCCTGCTTTGTGCACTGCTTGTGGGAGGCTCTGGGAGAAGCCTCGTGGGGATTAGAAGCAGGGGCCCCCCCATCAGCTCCCCTAAATTCCCTGCAAGGGATGCGGCTCGGCAGGTGCCCAACACCAGTTCAGGGGGCCCTCCCCCCACTGCCCGTGCCCGGGAGCCCCTGCTTGCTGTGCAGGGGGGAGAGGGGTGCAGATGTCAGGATGTCCCCCCGCTCCTGCCCACCCCCGCTCCGTACCCCGTCTCCACAAGGCGAAGGAGGGGACAGGGCTCGGGGACAGAAGGGCGGGGGCAGGGGGAGCTTGCTGGGAGCTCTGCTTAAAAGGGCAACGTACTTGAAGTGGGGGGGGGAAGCGTACTTAAAGGGGCGACGCACATCTCTCTCCCCCCAGCACTTTGGAAAGTCAGCGGTTGTGCGGCCGGGCAGGCACTGTCAGGACAGGAGGAGGGAGTCGTCGGCTCCGGCAGGGGCCCATCATCTGGGTCAGGGGTTGCAGTCACTGCCCCCCAGCCTCTATTGTGTTCCCCCCCACCCCCGCTGCCTTTGTAGAGTGTGAGGCGACATTAACAACAGTGTGTTAATCCTTGAGGGCTCCGGCGAGGGCTAGTTCATCCTTTAGCAGCCAGGCATCCCCCGGGAAATATCCACCCTCTGACACCCCCACCTCTCCCAGGCTTCACAATCGTTCGGCGCTGGGTCCAGTCTTCAATTGTTTAAAACTTAGACTGTCTCCATCTATTGCAGCTTTTGTCTGGCGCAATAAATTTCCCTGGAGCCGAACCCCCCTCTTGACGTTAATTTTTCTGGGGAAATTGGATTCACGTAACTTCGTTTGGCATAAAGTCGCATTTCTCAGGAACGTACCGACCATGTTAAGTGAGGAGTTACTGTCTATGGCCTTCTAATGATTGGAATTGGGAACTTAACTCCCTTTTTACGACTCTTTCGTGGACTCTGGAACCTACTGATAACCCAAATGAGACCAGCCTTATTAACTATTATCCCAGCTAAATCGACTCATCTCATCTCCTGGCTCCTCCTCCCAGTGAGGCTGGGAAGTGGACCCCCCCCCCAGTCACCTCAATGAAGTGTTAACTCTGAAACCTACAGCTCTCACGTAACACATCATCCTTGGTAATTCAGCTACCAGAGCAATCACAGCAACATCCTGCTCTATCCCTGACCCCATTCCTGCTCCAGCCCCTCTTTCCTGGCGCTGTGTGTGTGACAGCATCGCTTCAACCACAACTTTCCAGTTTCAGAGCAGAGCTAGGTTTTCCCCAGGAATTTCCAGTTGAACCCAGGCACAACACCAACCCTAAAACATCCACCCACCCAGAGGAAACACTGGGCCCAGGCTCACTCACCCTAGTGGGCGTTCACTCTGAAACCTACCGATGGCACAATTTAACAACTATTTCACCGTTTAGCAGGAAGAGCAAGTTCTGCTCCTATTGATGCCAAGGAAGCAGCTTTAACTTTGAAACCAGCTGACCCTAGCCCCTTGTTAACTATTTAATCACCAGGAGATTGCGCAGGAAGAGGCAGCTAACTTTGCTCCTAATTGTCCCTCAATTCTGCCATGAGCTTGCCCCATTCACACCAACAGGGCGTTAACTCTGAAACCTACTGATATTGTGCCTTCAAGGTCACCCAGGCCGTCACTGCGATCAGGGCTATCCACGCTGATCCTGCTACCAGCCCCGGTTCCCTTCCCAGCCCTGCCACCCAGCTCAGGTGGGCTACGGGAAACGATGCAAATGGAAACAGCTGCAGGGAAATCCCACCTTGATTTACCGGCTCAGTCAGTCCCAGGAACCATAATAGCAGCACAATGACACACGGAGGACACTGGGATTGAGTGCAGGGGGGGCGGGGCTGGGAGCCAGGACTCCTGGGTTCTCTCCCCAGCTCTGGGAGAGGAGTAGGGCCTAGTGACTTAGAGCAGGGCTGGGGGAAGGGAACTGGGAGCCAGGCCACAGAGTCTCCACCCCCCCACCACTTGTCCCCGTTTGGTGCCTCAGTTTCCCCTTCCTTACATCAGCCGCAATGTTCCGGCGGTAGCGGGCGTCCGTCTCGAGAATGTCCATGGTGTGGGGCCGGGGCTCCGGGACGCACCCTGGCTGCTGCTCCCAACTCCAGGCACCCGCCTGGACTTTCATCTCCCGTGGGTTCAACAGAGCCAGAGATAAGACCGGCAGCGCGCAGGGCGGGGGGGGGGGGGGAGAAGAGACATAAAATCGATTTCTCCCGCCTCATCCCCACCCAGCACCAGCTGATAACAGGGAGGCAGCTGCTGGGAGGAGTGGGGCGCAGGGGGGCTGGGAGCCCGGGCTCCTGGGTGCAATCCCTGGGGCTGGGCCCCGCCCGGCGTGCTGCCCCCCCCGCCCCCCAGGAAGGAGGCCACGGCACGCTCAGGCTTTAACCATTGTTTTTTATTTTCATCTGGAATAACAAAAGAGACGAGCCGGGGACCCACGAAACAGGGGGGGATGGTCGCCGGCCGGGGAGGCCCCGGGCCAACCCCCAAAAGGCCACTTGATTTGGTTCCTGTTTAAGAGCTTTTAAATATTGCCACTAAAGGGGTAGCCGGGGGAGGGGGGATGGCTACCAGGACATCACTGTTGGCTACTGCTGACTTTGGGAGGGGGCCGGGGGGGGGGGAATTCAGTGCTTTTAAAAAGGAGAAAGGTGCGTCGCAGGCCCATCTGGCCCGGCGTCTGGCCCCGTCTCCTCCCAGCCAGGGGCCATGCGGGGGGGGGTTTGTGTTGTTTCAAAGTCTCTTTGTGCAAGGGGAGGGAATCAGACCCCACGCCTCCCTTCCAGCCTCACCCCCCCCCCCCAAGCACCTGGGATCCCCCCCAAAACTAGTGCAATGCAGAACCTCTCTGGAGAGGCCGGGAAGATCAGTGTGGAGGGAGGGATGGGGGGGCAGCCCCTCAGCTGACACCTGCTGATTGGTGGAGGACCCCTAGCCCCCTATGCGCTACAGCCTGAGCTATGGGGGCAAGGAACTTCCTAGGTCCCCATAAACCTTCCCCCACTCCTGAAGGGCCCCGAATCCCGAGGTGGGGAGGGAAAGAGACCCCCTCTCCGTACCGTATGCCCCCCGCCAGATCTGCTACAGGGTGGGTTTGGGGAGGCTGAGGGACCTGAGGCCCCTACCATGGGGGAGGGAGCTGCCCCTCGGTACCCAGATACACCCCCCCGCAATTGTGGGGAAGGGGGGGACAAAGAGTTAACTCCCCCGCAGGGGCAAATGGAGGGGGAGACCATCAGAGCGGAGGTTGGGCTGGGGCCCTCCTAGACCTTCTGCCGGGGGGACGGGGGGGACGACACGACAGCTGGGGGTCCAGGCACCATTGTGGTCCCTGTGGAGGTGGGGGGCAGGCGGCCCTGCTCCCCCGCAGATGGGCTGTGGTTTGAGCCGGTGCTGGTGTTAGCAGTGGGATCTAGGAGGGGAGGCCACTGGGGGGGGGGGAGGAGAGGTGTCCAAAAGGGCAGGTGCATTGTGGGCTGTTCGCATCCCCTCCCCCACTTGAAAAGTACCCGGGGGTCGGGGGGGGGAGAGACCACTTGTTCCTTCCTCCACTCTGACCGGCCGGTGCTGTTTCCTGGGGCGTGACCCATCTCTGCCCCCCAACACCTCTGCTTGGGGGAGACGGGGCAGCTCCAGCCCCCCAGGCCAGGGAAATAAATAACAAGGGGGAGCGGAAAACATGGGGTTAAAAGGGTCACAGAACCAGCTCTGGGAGGGAGGGACACGGATCTGTCCCACAGCCCTGAGTTCCACCCCTCCCTTGTAGTGCCCCCCCCCCCGCACCCCCACCCACTGCACTCACCACCTCCCCATGGGCCCCACCTCCCCATGCCCAACCCCGCCCCCAACACTCCCTGGCTCCACCCCCAACAGCTCCTAGTCCCGCCCACCATGTCCACCCTCAGCCTCCCTCCCTCCCCCCCAACTAAGCTGGGCTCTGGGGGGGTACAGCCCCACCCCTGGCTGAGGCCCTGGACCCGACAT